CATTCTTGGGCTTTGCTGACTACTGCACCATCATTTCTTTGAGCTCATTAAATGTCCTCAGCATAGTGTCCTAAAATCATTATCTGAGAGTTTACGTAACTGGTTGAGTTTTTCTTTATGTTATTTTCACTCGTTAGTGAAAATGTTATTATTTTCAATGAGCTTGGTGGGCTTCTGTGTATCTCCTCCACTGGATTTGTTCTGGTCCTGCTGAACTAAGGAGGAATCTTTGTAGTTAGTGATTCTCGGAGTCTCTGAAGGATTAAGTCTCCGTGTTTCTCTTTTTGCTTCACTACCTTTCTTCACCCAGTGACAGAAACTCTTAAGTGTGAGCTGCTGTGTGGGGAGATGAGAGGTGATATGGCACATGCAGCTGCACAAATTCGGAGACGTAGACGTACTTTGCTAAGAAGATGGCAGAGGTTGTGCAGTGTAGTGACTCCCAGAATCCAGCTGGAAGGGAGAGAAATTTGCTTTTGGACCAAACATGGCCCTGGGTTGTCAGCCAGGAGGTTAATCTGGAGAATTGGAAGAGCAAGAACAGGTTCAGGAGATACTGAAGCCTGCTGAGAAGATGTAAACACGTCTAATGTGTTGGACAAAGTATTACAAATTCAACTGTAATAATCTGGGCCAGAGACTGAGGAGTTTTCTTTGCATGCAGCTTATCCTCACTATATTGCAGGCACTTCATGGTCCCCTGGGTACCACCTGAAGCAGCTCTCTAACACAAAGCCAATTGTAGCCCCATGCATCACTAGGTGTAGCCCAAAACTAATATGCAATACTTGGAATCAAATTGGGGTCAGCTGCACACAAAGGAAAATGCTTTAATCCCTGTGCTTTTCCTATTACCCTATGTCGGATTTTGTTATGAAGATCACTAATCCTGTTAAGATAAAATTTCTTTATATGCTAGACTTCTCTTTTTTTCAGTTTTATTTTATTTTATTTTTTATTTTATTTTTATTAGTGAGACACCATGAGGTACAGTTCTAGACTTACAAATGTTTGTGCTTGGGTTTCAATTGTACAATGATCAAACAAACATCCCTCCACCAGTGCCCATTTCCCACCACCACAGAACTGATAACTCAATTTACTCTTTAAAATAATCCTATGACAAAGATACCCTTATTGCCATTTTCCAAATGAGAAAGCTAAAGTTAAAAGTGTTTGTATTTCTTCCTATTTGCTATTCACCACAGACATGATGACAAGAAGAAACCAAAGTTGGAAAGAGAACAAATTAAGACATAGATAAACCTTTGCTCTCTATTCCATCTACGTGATCCAGTAAGTATCTATATAGAAATACTGGGTTTCCAAAATATGTTTATAATAATATATTTATAAAAGTATTTCTGCCAGAGATGTACAGGATAATTAGTGTTGGTCCTCCACCACACACATTCACACACACAGACACACAGACACACACACACGTGTGCACATGCACACACACATACACTCGCACAAACACGCACGCAGATGCACACATGTGCACATGCACACGTACACACACAGAGAAAGAGAATACTGGAACTATATTCACTACCAAATATGAAGTACATTGCAAGTACCAGGTATTCACCAAGCACATTCCAGGAACATCACACTATTTCTGTTTTATCAGAGATTATTCAATAACATTACTCCCAAGTTTAAGTGGTCCCTAGGGAAAATTTGATGAATATCCTCCTGTAAAAGATTTCTAATGGATTTTTGCTTCTGCCTAAGATGCTTTAGTTGAGATTTTGTTGAAGGTAAGGCAATGCCAGATGACTTGTTAGGATCCTTTCCAAGTCTCAAGCCCTTTTATGGAGATGCTAATATTCTGAAGAACTCAAGAACCTTCACCATCTATTATTCAAATTCATGGAATTTCTTCTAGCGCTGTTGCATAACATTTTCCTATTTAATATATTAAATTATTTAATTTCCTTCCATTTTTCCATCTTCCAGTCCCTTCTAATATGATGCTTTCTAAGTATATACTGCCAGAAGAAATAATTCTTGCAAATTAATAAGGCTTGTCATAGAAAATGTCAACTTAGTATTGGAATCAGATACAATAAACCGAAAGCAATTCCACAAAGTAATGGCGTATAAATGGAAAAAAATTAAAAGTCTGTTCTTTGTTAGGTTTTATAAATTGTTTCATTTGTTTTTGAGCCACACCCAAAAGTGCACAGGGTTTATTCCTCCCTCTGTCCTCAGCAATCACTCCTGAAAATACTTAGGAACCCATATGCAATACTTGGAATCAAATTGGGGTCAGCTGCACACAAAGGAAAATGCTTTAATCCCTGTGCTTTTCCTATTACCCTATGTCGGATTTTGTTAAGAAGATCACTAATCCTGTTAAGATAAAATTTCTTCTCTTTTTTTCAGTTTTATTTTATTTTATTTTATTTTTTATTTTATTTTTATTAGTGAGACACCATGAGGTACAGTTCTAGACTTACAAAAGTTTGTGCTTGGGTTTCAATTGTACAATGATCAAACAAACATCCCTCCACCAGTGCCCATTTTCCACCACCACAGATCCCAGTATTCCTCCCACTCCCCATCAACCCATCCCACTCTGCCTCTGTGGCAGGGTATTCCCTTTTGATCTCTCTCTCCTTTTGGGTGTTGTGGTTTGCAAAAGAGGCATTGAGTAGCAATCAGGTTTGGTCTATAGTCTACTTTCAGCATGCTTATCCCATCCTGGGAGGATCCTCCCAACACCCTATATTTGGTGCCCCCTTTCTATCTGAGCTCCCTTTTCCCCTAGTATGTGTGGCTGGTCTCCAAGCCATGGAGCAAAATTCCTGGTACTAATCTCAGCCATTCTTGGGTGTTAGTCTCCTATTTTGTTACTTTATGTTCCCCAGATGAATGCAATCTTTCTATGTTTATCCCTCTCTTTCAAATTCATTTCACTTAACGTGACACTTTACATGTAGTACCACTTGTATGTAAATTTCATGACTTCATCTTTTCTAACAGCTACATAGTACACCTTTCTGTAAATGTACCAAACTTTTTTTAACTAGTCATCTGTTCTCGGGCACTCAGGTTTTTTTCCAGATTCTGGCTAGTATAAAGAGTGCTGTAATGAACAAACAAGTGCAGATGCCACTTCAAATATACTTTTTTGTCTCTCTGGGATATATTTCCAGGAGTGGTATCGCTGGGTCAAATGGGAGCTCAATTTCTAATTTTTTGAGAATCGTCCATACTGTTTTCCAAAAGGGCTGAACCAGTCGGCATTCCCACCAGCAGTGAAGGAGGGTCCCTTTCTCACAACATCCGCAACAGCACCTATTGCTTTTGTTCTTGTGGATTTGGAACAGTCTCTGTGGTGTGAAATGATATCTCATTGTGGTTTTGATCTGCATCTCCCTGATGATTAATGATGTAGAGCATTTTCTCATGTGCCTTTTTGCCATTCAGGTTTCTTTTTTGAGAAATTTCTATTCATTTCATAGCCCCATTTTTTGATGGGGTTGGTTGTTTTCTTCTGGTGGAGTTCAACCATTACTTTTTATATCCTTGATATCAACCACTTGTCGCATGTGTATTTGGTGACTATCCCTTCCCATTCTGTAGACTGTCTTTGTATTTTGGTCACTGTTTCTTTGAAGGTGCAGAAGCTTCTTAGACTAAGATAGTCCCATTTGTCTATCTCTGTTTTCACTTGCTTGGCCAGTGGTGTGACATCTTTGAAGATACCATTAGCTTCAATGTCATGGAGGGTTTTGCCAACTTTTTCTCAGTGTACTTTATGCATTCCGGTCTGATGTTGAGGTTTTTAATCCACTTTGGTCTTACTTTTGTACATGGAGTTAGGCAGAGATCTGAGCCGACTTTTTTGCATGTAGTCATCCATTTTTGCCAGCACAATTTGTCAAAGAGGCTTTCCTTGCTCCACTTCACTTTTTTTGCCCCCTTATCAAAGATTAGATGATCATATTCTTGGCGGGGAAGATGTCAGTATATTCAATCCTGTTCCATTGGTCTACAGCTCTGCCTTTGTTCCAGTACCATGCTGTTTTAATTATTACTGCTTTGTAGTAGTATTTGAAATTAGGGAGGTTGATTCCTCCCATTTTCTTTTCCCCAAGAATTGCTTTAAATATTCATGGGGGCTTAATGTTACATATAAATTTCAGGAGTGTTTGCTCAATATCTTTAAGAATGTCATGGGTATCGTAATAGGGATCTCGTTGAATTTGTACAGTACTTTGGGAAGTATTGCCATTTTGTCAATGTTAGTTCTCCCCATCCATGAACAGGGGATATTTTTCCATTTCCTCGTGTCCTCTTTTATTTCGTGAAGTAGCATTTTGTAGATTTAATTCTACAGGTCCTTTACTTCCTTAGTTAAGCTGATTCCTATGCACTTGATTTTCTGGGGCACAATTTTGAATGGGATTGTTTTCTTCATGTCACTTTTTTCTCTTTCACTTTTTGCATATAGGAAAGCCATGAACTTTTGGGTATTGATTTTATAGCCAGCAACTTTACTATACAAGTCTATTGTTTCTAGGATTTTCTTGGTAGAGGTTTTAGGGTTCTCTAAGTATAGTATCATATCATCTGCGAATAGTGAGAGCTTGATTTCTTCCTTTCCGACTTGGATGTCTTAATATCTTTTTCTTGCCGAATCGCTATTGCAAGTACTTCCAGTATTATATTGAACAGCATTGGAGAGAGTGGGCATCCTTGTCTCATCCCTGACCTTAGGGGGAAGGCTCTCAGTTTTTCCATATTGAGGATGATGCTTCCTGTAGGCTTGTGGTAAGGTAAAGTAAGGCCCTCCCATTGATCGTCGATTTGCTCGAGCGGGCCCAGTAACGTCTCCATTGGAGACTTTGTTGTTACTGTGTCTGGCATATCGAATACTCTCAGTAGCTTGCCGGGCTCTCCGAGAGGGGCGGAGGAATCGAACTCGGGTGGGCCATGTTGGCCGCTTGTAAGGCGAACGTCCTACCCACTGTGCTATTGCTCCAGTGTTGTATGAAAGGAGAGAAGGTTAGCACTCCCCTTGACAAGGCTTGTGGTAGATGGCTTTAATTATATTGAGGAAAGTCCCCACTATCCCCATTTTGGCGAGGGTGTGTTATTTATCATAAACGGGTGCTAGATCTTGTCAAATGCTTTTCTCTGCCTCTATTGATATGATCCTATGGTTTTTATATATTCTTTTGTTGATATGATGGATTATGTTAATTGTTTTCCAAGTGTTAAACCATCCTTGCATCCCAGGATGAATCCCACTTGGTCATGGTGTATGATCTTTTGGATGAGTAGTTGAATTCTATTTGCTAGTATTTTGTTGAGAATCTTCGTATCCGTGTCCATCAGGGATATCAGCCTGTAGTTTTCTTTTCTTGTGGTGTCTTTGTTTCCTTTTGGTATTAGAGAGATATGGGCTTCATAGAAACTGTTTGGGAGGTTTCTGTTTTTACAATTTCCTGTAAAAGCTTGAGAAGGACTGGTTCTTTTTAAATGTTTGGAAAAATTCTCTAGTGAATCCATCTGGACCTGGGCTTTTGTTTTTGGGAAGACTTTTGATTACAGTTTCGATTTTTTTGATGCTAATAGGTCTGTTCAGGTACTCTAGATGTTCTTGATTCAACTTTTGGAGATGACAGGAATCCAGGAATTGATGCATTTCTTCTAGGTTCTCTTGTTTCGTGGCATACAGCCTTTCAAAGTAGTCTTTGATGATCTTTTGAATTTCTTTGATTTCTGTTGTGATATCCCCCTTCTCATTTCTGATTTGGTTTATTAGGGTTCTTTCTCTCTGTTTCTTTGTGAGTGTTGCTAGTGGTTTATCTATCTTGTTTATTTTCTCGAAGAACCAGCTCTTGGTTTCATTGATCTTTTGGATTGTTTCTTTGGTTTCCATGTCATTGATTTCTGCTGTAAGTTTTATGATCTCTTTCCTTCTGCCAGATTTGTGCTCTTTCTGTTGATCCTTTTCTAAGGTCTTGAGCTGTGAAGTCAAGTTGTTTATGTGCATCCTTTCATCCGTCCTGAGAAATGCTTGCAGAGCTATAAATTTCCCCCCTTAATATGGCTTTCGCTGCATTCCATAAGTTCTAGTAGCTCATGTCTTCATTCTCATTTGTTTCCAGGTATATTTTGATTTTGTCCTTGACCTCTTTCTTAACCCACTCATTGTTCAGCTTTGAGTTGTTTAATTTCCAGCTGTTTAGTTTGGTTTTCTGTGTCTGTGTGTGATTCACTTCTATTCTCAGTACATCGTGGTCTGAAAAGATGGTTGATACTATTTCTATCTTCCTGATTCTATTGAGGTATGTTTTGTGGCCTAGAACATGGTCTATTTTGGAAAATGTTCCGCGCACACTGGAGAAGAATGTGTATTATTTCTTTGGAGGGTGTAAAGTCCTGTATAGGTCTATAAGCCCTTTCTCGTCTATTTCTTCTTTCAAAGCCAATGATTCCTTGCTGAGTTTTGTTCTTGTTGATCTATCCAGAGGCAATAAGGTGATGTTGAAGTCTCCAATTACTATTGTGTTGCTGCTAGCAGTGTCCTCCTTAAAATCTGTTAGCAGTTGTTTTAAATATTTAGCTGTTCCCTCTTTGGGTGCTTATACATTTAAGAGTGTGATTTTTTCCTGTTGTATGTATCCCTTGAAGAGAAAATAGCCTTCACTATCCCTTCTAATCTTTTTCAACCTGAAATTAATGTTGTCGGATACTAGTGTGGCCTCCCCAGCTTTTTTGAAGGAGCTGTTTGCTTGCAGGATTGTTTTCCAGCCTTTCACTTTGAGTCTGTGTTTGCTCCGACAATTGGATGAGTTTCTTGTAGGCAGCAAAATGTTGGGTTCTGTCTCTGAATCCATTTTGCCACTCTGTCCCTCTTAAATAGTGAATTTAGACCATTGACATTGAGAGAGATTATTGTTATGGGGTTTTGTGTCATCTTTTTGTAAGTATCTGTTGTGGTTGTATGGTTTGTCTTGTCTTATAGTAGCCCCTTTAACCCTTGTTTTAGGTTTGGTTTTATGTGTATGAAGTTCCTGAGCTGCTGTTTATCTAGAAAATTGTGTACTGTTCCTTTGAGTTTGAGTGAGAGTTTAGCTGGACAGAGTATTCTTGGTGAAGCATTCATTTTAGTGAATTTTTTCATTATATCTCGCTACTGCCTTTGGGAGTAGAGGATTTCCTCTGATAGATCTGCTGTGAATCTAAGGGGTGCTTCTTTGTATGTGATTCCTTCTTTGACCTTGCTGCTTGCAGTATTGTGTCTCTATCAGCAGCATCGATCATTCTAACTATGATACGTTTTGGAGTGTTTTTTTTTTAGGGTTTCTTTTAGCTGGCACCCTTCAGGCTCCCTGAATCTGAATGGCTGCATTGTCGAGCTCTGTGAATTTTTCAGCAATGGTTTTTTTTAACCGTGGCTTTTTCATTGGGATTGTTTCCCTGAGCTTCTGGTAGTCCAATGATTCTAATGTTGTTCCTCTTGGAATCGTCTCCTAGGACTCTGATTCTTTCTTGAGCTATTTTGAGGTCCCTTGCCATTGTTTGTTGTTGCCTGTTGGCTTGGTGCAGCTGATCTTTCAGCTCACTGATTCTTTCCTCAGCTGTGGTCATTCTACTTTTGAGGGCACATACTGAGTTTCTTAGTTCATGTACAGAATCTTTCATTCTTTACATTTCTATGCATAGCTTTCCAATTTCTGCTCTCATTTCTTCCCATAATTTGTCGATTTTTTTCTGTCATGTTACTGGATATCTGTCTGACTGTTTCATTGAGTTCATTGAACATCTTTATGACTTCGTATCTAAATTCTTTGTCAGAGAGGTCCCTTAGGTGAGTAGCACCTAAAGAGGCTTCTGGACTCTTTTCATCGATCTCCCCTTGTGGTGGGGATTTACGTTGTTTCTCTATGTTGGATTATAGGTGTGGGGACTAGATTTTTGGTATGACTAAACTACCTACAGCCTCATGAGCATTGGCCCACTGAAAATTAGGCTTCACCTACTTCTACAGAAGCCACGCCCACTTCTAAAGTGGCCACACCCCTATCGGAACCTGGTTGTGTGGGGGGAGTAAAGACTGGGTGGGGAAAAAGACCAGCTCAGCTTGGGGGATGAAGAGGAAGAGGCAGAGGCTCAGGGCTGCTTTGTCTCCCAAGGTCCGAGAGGACGCCTGGGTGGCTTGCAGTGAGAAATTCAAGTGCCGGGTTCGAGAAGCGGCGGATAAACTGACCTGGGTGGGGGAGAAGACCAGCTCAGCTTGGGGGACAAAGAGGAAGAGCTGCTAGACTTCTTTTTTAAAGTACATTTTTTCTCTTTTGCACTAATGAAGTATCTGTTTATAAAGAGAAGCTTCTTGCTTTCTCTCATTTTTATGTGAAGTATCATTATAGTACATATTAGCAATTAAAGAAGTGGTGACGGGCCAGAGTCATGGTTCAGCAGGTAAATTGCTTTCCTTGCAAGTTACTCACCCAGGTTTAATCCCCAGATACCCAATATGGTCCCCAAAATAAAGCCAGGAGTGATCCTTGAGCACATAGCCAGCATTAAACCCTGAGCACTGCCAGGTGTGGCCCAAAACTTGACGAACAAAAGTGGAGAATAAAAAAATATATAAACATTTGTTATTAATCGTATTTCAACTAGCTTGCTATATGTATCTCCTGTGTCTTAATGTGGCACCATTCGGACAAAGTAAAAAATGTAAAAGCATGTAAGTGAACACTAAATCATCTAAAAATTAACCCTCACTTGAAATATGAGGTTATTCATATACTTTTATGAGTCTACAATTATTTCTACAGCATTACCTTTACTAAGATTGGAAACTTAGAGAGTTAGACAGACAGCACAGTGGGAAGGATGCTTGTCTTGCACATAGTTCTGGGTTAAATCCCCAGCACGACTTATAATAAACTGAGCCCTGCCAGGAATGGTCCCTGAATATAGCAACAGGAGAAAACTCTGAGCACCACTTAGTGTGGCCTAAGCTACCTAAATAAATAAATAAATAAATAATGGGAACATTAAAAGTATAGTTATAAACTCAAGTTTTATGAATGTGTAAATAATGTGTAGACAATATACATATATATACATATATATATATATATATATATATATATATATACTGGTAGGGTCTAGTGGAACTTACATCAACTTTTCACCAAAGGCTTGTTGATAGATGAATAACTGAATAACTGAATAACTGAAAGTATGTGGTGTAAAGATCAGAGTTATAGTCACACATTTTGGGTAGATTTTGGACCAAGAGGAGAACGAATCAAGTGATGCAACCACATCAGTAAGACTCCTGTAAGCTGGTTTATAAGGACACCCACACTTCCTCCCAAATTGATGTTATTTTAGCAATTTGACTGATAAATTAAACCCCCCACCCCAATTCCTTGGGAATCCAAAGAAGTCTGTCTTTAAAGGTAGACCTCTATACGCTGCAACCACCAGAACTTTTGAATGTGCCTGTCTAGTTGACACATGGGGGCTGGGCTCTGGAGGGAATATGGGGAAGCTGGTAGAGGGAAGTTAACATCATTCATGGGATTGGTGTTGAAATATACTACACCCAAGGCTTACCTATCAATAACTTTCTAAATGACAGTTATTTAACTTTTAAAAAGTCTAACCATTGCTGACTACAGATAAATACAGCAGGAACAGGAGGATTATTCTGTGCTCAGAATAAAATGGGTTCAGTCACAAGCAAGGGACTTTATACATCAAATAGTTCTTGTCCCAAGAACAGTAAATTGGAAAGCCCTTCACTAGTTCAAACTCTTTCTCCCCACACATCCCAAATCCTTAGTAACAAAGCAAAAATCCAAAACTGGATTCATAAGACCTCTGACAGAAAAAAACAAATCATATTCTGAAACCGTATATGTACATATAAATTATATATATACATATATACAGGATACAGAGAAACTTCATCTACTCCCTTTTACAAGAATGCTTCTGAGTGTAGCGACTTACATATCCATAGTGAAATGGGATAATAAGGTTGCAAATTGGAAAAACTTGCAGTTACGCCAAATGAACCCTATTGGTACTAGAGAGATAGCACAGGATTAAGACAAATACTTTAGGCTCTT